AAAAAAAACTCCCGGTACCAAATTTTTATTTATGTTTCAGGCAAGAATAGTCCATCAATGCCAAAACCATCAGTTAAAATGTTATGGAGAATGGAATACGGGCTGCTTTTTTAATGTATTGATATAAAAGATGCCACCTAAATTAAATACATCAAATTAAGACACAACAACTAGGACTCAGGGACATTATTCCGCCCCCTCCCCCCCCACGAAGTGTTGTACTAAAAAAAATGCGATATTATATATGTTAAATTTTTGCCAAAAATGCATAATCTGAATCTAATCATATGAAAACAAAGAGAAATCCATATGTTCTCCTTAAAGTGCCTGTTTTATGAGATACAAAGAAAAGGTGAGGAATTGTTTATGGCTAAAGGTGGCTAAAGAGACCCACAAATAAATAGAAGCATTATCCTGGATCAACTAAAAATATTATCTATATATATCTCTATATATAGATCTCCATCTATATATATACACACGTATATATACACACACACATATATATATATACACACACACACAAATATATATATGGAGATCACTGGGACAATTGAAAAAAGTTGAAGTATAGTGTACTAGATATAATTATTATATCAATGTTAAATTTCCTGAACATGTTAATTGTACTGTAAACATGTGATTGAATGTCCTTGTTCTTACAGGTGGAATTATTAAGGGATAATTGATCATGTCTGTAACTTGCTCTCAAATGGCTCAGCCAAAGGACAGAAATGTCAGAGAGATACAGAGAAGGAGAGAGGAGGAAGGGAGAGATAAAGAGAAAAAGAGAAGATATGGTAAAGGTAGCACAATGATGAAAATTGGCAAATATACGTAAAGGCATACAGAACTTCGATGAACGATTCTTGCAACCTTTATATAATTCTGAAGGCTTTTTGAAAAATGGCAAGCTTTCAAATAAAAGCAATTTAGGAATTGTTTTACATATACATGGTAAATTAATGAAAGTAAAGCTACATGGTTTTTAAATGGCATTAAACACTGAATATATTGCCTGGGCCTAATTTATAGGCATGAAAGTCGAGTCGTGGAATTTTTCACATTCTTTTTAAATTATGTAAATTAAATTAGAAAGTTAAAATGTTAAGCTACCACCTGGCACAGTTACTTAAAAATATTTTCATTAACTGATTAAATAAAATTACTTTATTACTTTTATATAAGTAGCTTTTGCTTTTATAATATATACAGCTGACTCAGATAATCAAAGTCCTGCTGGAGTGTAAGTATTATGTCACAAGAAGGCCTAAAGACGGCCCCACTGAGAATCTAAATGAAACCATTCTCTTGGGATCTCAAAGTATCTTAGTGCTGGATTAAAGCTGATGTCCAGGAATCTACACATAATTCACAGAAAACAAATTGTGTCATTCCTCATTGGTAAATTTAGTATTCTTCCCATTAACTTCTTTGAGGAGGATTGTAATTGGAGACTAGTGCACGTTAAAGGGGCTCCTTAGGCAAACGCAGAGAGTGCCACAGGTCAGAATTACCACCTTTCATCAATCTTGATATAAATGTAGAAACATATATTTCAACATATTCAAATGTATTATACTCTCACATTACCTCTCTAGGATTTCTCATCCAAAGTGTTTCCTGTAGGAGAGAACCAAACACACTGGAAAGAATAATAGGAAAGTTCACTTGCCAGAGTTTGGAAGGGAAGTGTGATGGAGATAGAGCATCTGTCAGGCTCTGTGTATCTAGACTCTTAGATCTCCAACCTGGCCTGCTGGCCTGGGCTCTAGTATCTGGTCTCAGAGAATATGAAGTACTTAGGTCACCACATTATTTACTGTTTGTGGGGGTCACAGCTCTGCCTATAGATTCTCCAGCTCAGACTTTTGACATTACCAGCAGCTAACAATGCTCACATATCATGCTTTAATAGCACATTTAGGTACCATCCTACTATCCTGTGTAGAACGTTGGAATCAGTGGCTACAGCATCTTAGAGAGCTCCGTTTGTTAACAAAGTGAGTGCATAAGTTGGGTAATGTCTTGGCACCCCAGTCCGCCCTCCATATCATTTACATGTGACAGGGAGAGCAATGCAGCAACCACCTTATGATTACAAAACAAAGGACAAACACAGAATCCTAATGAATTATGTAATCCCAAAAGCCAGTGTTTCTTAAGAAGATTTAAGTCCCAGTTAATTTCTTCACACCAATAGAGTGAAGATTAGTCTGAGGCAATCAGTGCACAGCCTACACAACATGATTTGGGCACAGTTTTGCCAAAACTTTTCCCTATTTATCACCAAAGGACTTCATTTGTATGATATCTACCTCAATTTGAAACAGTTTATAATGCAGGGAAAGACAGACATAATGTAAGATTACATTTTATGTATCTCCCACTAACATATGAATAGGTAAAACACAAAATTCATGGCTATTTCAGGTGGATTTTCAAAAATATATGCATATCTAAAATGAGATAATAACATTGGCTAGCCTGCTATGTTTTCAGCAATATAGTATAAAAACTTACTTTGCCCTATTTTGGGCTTAAAACTAATGCTAGATTTCAAAAGAAAATTTCAATTAATCAGATAACAAAAGTTCATCATTTTCTTATGAGATTGTTTATTTGAAATTATCAGTGTCTTACCAGGAGTGGAGACTGGGAGGAAATAGATAAAAAGTAGAAAAGGAGACAAACTTGCTTTTATGTAGGATGAATAAATCTGGAGCTCTAATGTACAGCATGAGGAATATAGGTACTAATGTTGTATTGTATACTGAAAACTTGCTAAGAGAGTAGATTTCAGGGGATCTTATTCCAGAAAAGTAACTGTTGAAGGTGATTGAAACGTTAATTTGATTACACTATGTGTATGTGTATCAAAACACCACGTTGTACATCTTAAATATATACAATAAAAGTGGGCTTAAATATAAACATTTTACAAAACAAAGTATTTGGTAAAAATTATTTTACTTTAAAATTTCATCTTTCTTGTTTAAAATAGTTTTTAAAAGTAATATTATAATTAAAAGTTTTACAACTACAATAAAAGCTTCTTTGAAAATTTTAACACAACTGAATAAACAGCCACCAAGATAATGTAACTATGAATATAAAAATGTTGGTATCACAGCCTTACTTGAAACACCACAAAACTATTCTCTTTATGCTATTTTAACCTTTTATAAACTAATTGAGTTCTTCCCAGAAATGCATTGATTGGGCATGAAGGTGCTCAGTTAATACTCATTTAGTTTTAATTACTTACATGTATTAAAATATCAGAAAAGCATGCGAATAAAATGTAGCATTCTTCCATATTTTACTACCTATCCATGTACCTCCAGCTTTTCATGAATAAACTTGTTTCCTGTTAGTTTTTATTCCCGTATGAGCTAAAAAGCAGAAGAATCTCTAAACATCCATAGAATGCCTTCCATGGATACACCTGACAGTATCTATTATTTGTCTCAAAAAAAAAGTATGATCACTTTATGATTATTTGTATGTGGTTTTGCTAGAAAAGAATTGAACGTTATTAGTTGATATATAACAGAAATAAACACATATTCATAATTTTCAAGTAAACATTATTATCTCTGGTAATGATATTACGTCTATAAGAAACCAAATATTTTCATGGCTATTACCAAGCCCTTATGCACCCAGCCAAATTTTGGATGTAAGGGAATTAAAATAAAGCAGAAAGAAACGTAGGATATGTAGGCAGTAGAAACCTGAATATCTCTTTGTTTAAAGATACCTAGATTTTCTGTATTTCCATGTTAATCATACTGAATTATAATTAATTTGGTGACACAATTCACTACTATACTAGTACTTGTTAAAAGTTAGGCTGTCAAAACATAGAATATGGCCACTACATTAGTAAAGACTGACATCTTCAATTTAAAAAAGCTCTATCTGAATCTGGTAAACAAATATCTCATGAGGCAAATTTCCCCAAGTAAGTAATGAATAAAAATGAGAAATTTTTGAAATATGCAACTACTGTGTTCTTTTTTGTATCTTCCCCAGAGTTAAGGAGAGGTTTGGGAACAGGTTGGTAGAAAGGTAAATACAATGAAAGGCAAGTACATTGTTTGCTATAATTTATCTGAGATTTAGCCATGCTTCTTGGTATCAGGGAGGAGGGACCAGTGAATGACTTGTAATTAGAATAATTGTAAATTGCAAACAAACTACAGTGAAATATGGTATCGACACGAGTTAGTCATTAACTCTTGTTCTATTATTGATGTTTTCTCCTCATCATTACACAAAATGGCAGAATCCTGGCTTAACTTATGACATCTTTTATCTTTATTATCCTTACATATTGATTTTTTTTCTAGATGAGTCATGAAGGCTAAATGTGTGTGTGTGTGTAATATAACTATTTCAATCATATTACTCATTTTTCAGAAATCTAAGTGTCTAACTAAAATTTATACTTGTGTCAACTAAGGATGGTGCCTGGTTCAGGAAATTCCTTGTGATTAGATATGACTGTATTACAACTATATACCTTTTGCTACAACTGATTAACTATGGATTTCCCCAACATGAAATCTTTTCAACAGGAAAAGGCAAATATTATGGTAAATGTAATAATCTGACCTTCTTAGTTAAAATATGTGAATTATATCATAAATGTGGACACTTCAAAATAGTTATTTATAAGTATTTCAAAAGAGGAAAATTTAAACATCCATAATGCTAGAGTCTAAAGCAAAGTTGGCAAACATATTGAGAGATTTTAAATGTATTCTTAATGATACTCCATTTCCCTGAGACATTCTTAATATCTGTTCACCTTCTCTTGTATTTAAAAAAATCCCAAATTTATCAGTGTCTTTCACATTATCCCCCCCAAACCTACCCATTTACATTAATATTTCATCAGTTATATTACCTTTCTAGGCATGCTATGCTCTGATGTTATTTGGCCAAATGCATGTAGCTGCTATTGAAGAATAAATTACACCAGACAAAGTTAATTAGGCAAAATGACCTTATTCAAGGTCATTGAATTATTATTGAAACAGTGGATAGAGGCAGAACTCAGTCTGAATTAAACTCTGCTTAAACAAAGGGCTGAGACCATTAACCAACCTCTCTTAACCCCTCCCTTCCCATGGAAGAAATAAGTTCTAGTGTTGAATAGCACAGCAGTGTTACTGTAGTTAACAGTAATTTATTCTGTATTTCGAACTAGAAGAAAATATTTGAAATGTTCCCAACACACAGAAAGATACATATTTGAGGTGATAAATATCCTAAAAATTCTGATTTATCACACTTTGTATGCAGGTATCAAAATATCACATGAACTCCATAAATACATACAATTATTATGTATCAGTAACCAAAGAAACAAAAACAAAGGGCTAGGAGTTTTGAAAAGCTGAGGTTGGAGGGTGAGTTATAGACCATTTGTGGTGTTTGCTTACTGCCTTTACCCAAAAGAAGAGTAAACTTTCCCTTTTTGGCAGAGGTAGTTTTGGAGGCAGTTCCCTGCAGAAGTTAGGCCCCGATTTTCCCACAGAAACTGGAAGATAGGGGCACTGTCTTCCTTAACATTACATGTCAAAGGAATGCCTCCCAGGTCTTTGAGAAAGACTTTCTTGGGTTGTAAAACTAGCAAGAAGCTTTTAAAATGATTTACACCTCAAAGGAATAGAGGAACGAATTTACAATGACAAGATTTCTAAAGTAAATGCTCTTTAAAAAAGAAAAAAAAAAAACACACACACACACAAGGGTCAGGGGCTTAGAGGCAGAAAGAAGCCTGTTTAAAGTTCGATCCAACTGAGAAACACTAAGGCCTTCTTGATCACTGTCATTTGGCTTATAATTAAAACTCAGTCTCCACTGATAGTAATTAGAGCTGCAGATATGATTCTGGGGAAATAGCTGAAGTATGTTCAAATCACTACTCCTGTTTTTTTTTTTCTCTTACACAAAATGAGGATGTTGGACAAAATTATCTCTCAAGTTAATTCCAATTTAACTTCTACAGTTCTATTTTTCTAATATTCTTGTTTGTTTAAATTCTTTTATATAAAAAAGAAAGAGAAAGGTAGAGAAGGAATGAATATCATTGATTGCCTTGTTTCATAAAAGCAAAACTGAAAATAAAAATATATTAAAAAATTAGTAACATCAAATGATCAAGCATTCAAATCTTTAACAAGAAGAGAAGCTAGGTATCTATAATGCTAGATCCCAAAACAACTTTGTTTTCATGTAAAGTTCATGTCAATTATGTTGACATAACTTGCTTGTATTGTTAATGATGATCTTTTTTCATGAGAAGTGGTGATTGCTGATCTTATGGCCTTTTCACCCTTTCCACCAGATTCTCAAGTCTCACCTAGGATAAATGTAAAAATTTATGCTAAATATTTTTTGATTAATCATTAGACTTACATGTTTCCAAATTAACAAGACTATTATTAGCCAAATGTCCCTCTAAGGGTTTGCGCTCTTTCTATTCGCATCCTGCTGCTATAGTACCCAGGTACGTCATCCACAATTTTCCCGCAATTTTTATAGGTATTTCATTTAGGTACGCCAAGTTTATTGCAAATTTGAATCAGTCTTTTGAAGATGTATAGTTTAAAATTAAGCAATACAAGCTAAGCATTTCCTTTGGTTTCTGACAGATAACAATATGAATAGACAATGCATTCTTTTCAGGGTTTTATTCTTGCTTTAAACAAATTTCATTAGACTCATATGTTGTTTCTTGTCTTAACATTTTAAACTTTGGTTTCTAGCAGGGCAAAGAATAATGGAAATAGCTAAGAAATTAAAGGTCTATATTCTGATTCAAATGCCAATTCAATTCTAAGAACTCAGAAAGATGCAGCTGCTTTGAGAGATAAGGAATTAAAGAATACCTTATGGTATCTACTAAAACTATAATTTAAAATATATAAGTACAAATCCTGCAACATCAAAAACTCTCTATTATGAAAAAACTTAAGGTAGTAAATGCAGTATTTTAAAAACTCATAATGTGAACAATATGAATATAAAGTTTACAATTTTTGCAGTGCATTTTAGTCTATAAATCTCAAGTAGTTTATTCCAAGTTATACTCTACTGTGTATTACAATACTTTTTAAATAATTTTTCACCAGCAATATTTTAAAAAGCAAACAAAAAGTATAAGTAAAAAGTTCCTTCTCTAAATTTAATAAAACCAGAGTTGTGGTATTAATTAAGAATGGATGTCCACATTCCAATTTGTTGTTTTCCTGTGTAACTTCTCAGTCTCATTTATGAAAATTTTAAAAACTTATAGTTTACAAATCAGTGGTGCCTATTATAGTAATGCTTCATACATTAATGACACATTTAATAACTTTAATACAATAATAACTGATAATAATTCATAGAATTGTGGTATGAATCCAGGCATTAAAGGCCTTTGTCCTGGCCTCCATAGAGGGCCTTGCATATTTGCAAACATCTAAAAGAAATTAAGTAAAGAATGTACAGAAACATTGGTTTCTTCAGATCAGGTACCCAGAACTAGAACAACACTACTCAGAATCCTAAAACATCGATGTTCTTTGGTGACTAATACTCTCTTATTTCCAGAGTACTTCTCTCTATACTTCTTACTTCATATCCTTGGAAAACAGGATGACTAGATTTCATTGCTGGAATAGTTTGTGGATTTAACCTGTGCTGACATTGAAACAGACAATTGGTAGGAGTGTAGGGAAAGATAGTTGAATTAGTGGAACTGAGGAGACAAATTAACTTGTCAAATACTTTTCAACATGAATGCAATAGATTTGTGCAAAACAAAATGTGTTTTCTCAAGAGTATATACAATCTTCTTGTTTGTTTCTGTTCATGGACCAGTAAGTAGTTCTGAATGTAATCAAGAATTTGCATTGCACTTGTAGGATTTGCACATGGTGACTGAGAAATATTTTGTATCAATTAACTTTTTTTTTTTTTTTTTTTTTTTTGGAGACGGAGTCTCGCTCTGTCACCCAGGCTGGAGTGCAGTGGCCAGATCTCAGCTCACTGCAAGCTCCGCCTCCCGGGTTCACACCATTCTCCTGCCTCAGCCTCCCAAGTAGTTGGGACTACAGACGCCCACCACCTCACCCGGCTAGTTTTTTGTATTTTTTAGTAGAGACGGGGTTTCACCGTGTTAGCCAGGATGGTCTCGATCTCCTGACCTCGTGATCCGCCCGTCTCGGCCTCCCAAAGTGCTGGGATTACAGGCTTGAGCCACCGCGCCCGGCCGTATCAATTAACTTGAATTACCCTTATGTTTGTGTATCTGAGGGGCCTAGATAGAAGGTGTGTGAAGAGTAGTAATAATTTTCTACATTGACAAGTAACTGTATACTGAATAATATTTTTATATAGTTTACTAACATGTATTTAATTCTCCCAAATGAATTTAAATATCCAGATTTATTTAAATAAATTCGATCTAAATATTAACTTTTAAAATTTTTATTTATTTTTAATATTAATATAAATTTCAGTAAGCTATGAGTGTTTTAGATTACAATAAAATAGTTTTTGAAATATATAAATAATTTTATTTTTCCAATGTGTCCTATTGCATTCAATTTGTTTTTCCAGAAACATATACTCACATTTTAAATACAATTAAAATTTTTTGTTGCAACAATCATTTTGATAATTGAGAATAAATAAAAATCAAGGTCATTGTAGAAAGAAAAAGAACCAAAAAACACAGTTAAGGACAGAAAAATAAAGCAACGAAAGAAATGTTGTTATTATAAAAGTATTTAAACAAAAGCCAAAATTGACAAATGGGATCTAATTAAACTAAAGAGCTTCTGTACAGCAAAATAAACTACCATCAGAGTGAACAGGTAACCCACAAAATGGGAGAAAATTTTTGCAATCTACTCATCTGACAAAGGGCTAATATCCAGAACCTATAAAGAACTCAATCAAATTTACAAGAAAAAAACAAACAACCCCATCAAAAAGTGGGCAAAGGATATGAACAGATACTTATCAAAAGAAGACATTCATATAGCCAACAGACACATGAAAAAATGCTCATCATCAATCGCCATCAGAGAAATGCAAATCAAAACCACAATGAGATACCATCTCACACCAGTTAGAACAGCAATCATTAAAAAATCAGGAAACAACAGGTGCTGGAGAGGATGCGGAGAAACAGGAACACTTTTACACTGTTGGTGAGACTGCAAACTAGTTCAACCACTGTGGAAAACAGTGTAGTGATTCCTCAAGGATCTAGAACTAGAAATACCATTCAACCCAGCCATCCCATTACTGGGGATATACCCAGATTATAAGTCATGCTGCTATAAAGACACATGTACACATATGTTTATTGCAGCACTATTCACAATAGCAAAGACTTGGAATCAACCCAAATGTCCATCAGTGACAGACTGGATTAAGAAAATGTGGCACATATACATCATGGAGTACTATGCAGCCATAAAAAAGGATGAGTTCGTGTCCTTTGTAGGGACGTGGATGCAGCTGGAAACCATCATTCTCAGCAAACTACCGCAAGAACAAAAAACCAAATACCTCATGCTCTCACTCATAGGTGGGAATTGAACAATGAGGTCACTTGGACACAGGAAGGGGAACATCACACACCGGGTCCTATTGTGGGGAGCAGGGAGGGAGGAGGGATAGCATTAGGAGATACACTTAATGGAAATGATGAGTTAATGGGTGCAGCACACCAACATGGCACATATATACATATGTAACAAATCTGCACGTTGTGCACATGTACCCTAGAACTTAAAGTATAATTTAAAAAAAAAAATTTTAAAAAAAAGCATTTAAGCCAGGATAAAGACATAATATATTTTATTTCACAGTTTTTTTAAACTCAATTTATAACTTCTAAATATTGAGACATACGGTAAAGCGGGCCCTGGTGATATTCTTGTCCTAGACACTACAAATTTTAATGATGACACTGAATACCTTTGTATTTACATAAGTCAAATTGCTTTATCTGAAAACTATATGTTCTGTACTGGACTTTCCTTCCTTCGTCTTTTTAAATGCTGCTTTTATGAGTATGATCAAGTCAAGTGAGTCTATCAACGAAGAGAGAGTGATCAACCATGACAAATGATACCCAAGGGCCAAATAAAATGATCATTAAATTTAGCATTATAGAGGCTATTGCTGGCAATTAATAAGAATATTTTAATGGAGTAGGGGTTAGATGTGGATAGTATGGGTTTAAGAAAGAATGGATAAAAGGACTAAACATTGTGAATTCGATTGAGTTTTACTTCAAAGGGGAGAAAATAAATAGAATTAGCTTGTTGAAATAATTAGAATAAAGATGAGACAAAAAAGTAATAGCATGGCTGCATGCAGATGAAAATGATTCAGTAGAGCAGGAGAGGTGGAGGCTATGGAAGAGATGGGATAGGATTATTATTGCCCAGTTCTAGTCACAAGTGGAAGGAGGATTTAATTTTTATAGGAGCACAGAGAGTCATTTATGGAAACAAATAGGAAAAGTTAGTATATAGATATGAAAGCTGGTATGTGGGTTATGCCTGTTCCCCTATTCTGATTACTTCAGTGCAGTTGTAAGCAATATTTTGATCTCAGAGCAAAAATAATAATTCCATCTATTTTCTAGGGTTGTTGAGATGATTAAATGAGTTTGTACATGTAAGAAACTTAGAATGCTACATGGCATCTTGGTATCATCTAATGTGTTAGTTGCTGTCATAGACATTAATTTCTTCCTATAAATATGTCTGCTGTTAATTTCACCAAACTCTTTTGAAAGAGACCAATCTTTCAAATTATTCTTGAAAACCATGATTAAAAAATTTAAAAATGAGAAGTACTGTAAATGTATATCTAACATATTTATATATATAAATTATATAAATTAATAGTATATTATGAATTATATATTCAAAAGATATAATATATTTATAGAAATATAAATTACATAAAATATATATCATTTTGATATATATATATAAAATATATATCATTTTGATATAATAAATACTTTTTTTCCTCTTAGTATATCTCCTTCTATTCCTTCAACATCTGACCATTGCTATTTGCTTTGTTTTCCAGGCCTCGTATCAATTCCTTTTCCTGTAACAGGTTTTGTCCTCATTGCACTCTTATTTCTTCCTAAGTGTTGATGTCAGTATATGGCCTAAGTAAAAGCATGTAACAAGTTTAAAATACCAAATAGAGTCATCTTGTAATTAAAACCTACATATTCTGGTGCTCAAACACACAGTTGGTTTCTTGAGACTTTTTAAGTTTAATGGAAATGTGAAACAATAATGATGTTCTCCCTTGGCTTTTATTCATTTGTCACACTGAAAAAAACTTTATTGATTTAAATCTTTCTTCTGTTAATACAAATGGCAATTGTGCTACACTAAATTAACGAGAATTGTATAAACAGAATATTTTTCGTGATGGGGATGAAGTAACTAGTGTTTTACTAAGCATTAACTTTTCTACCTGTCCTCTTATAGGTGTTTTTGATTGTAGTAACCATGACCACAAAGCAGTCTAGCAGGACTGCATAGGCTGGAAAGCCCTTGCAGGTGTGTAATCAACATTTTGCTTGCATGTTTCACTAACTCAGTGGGAACACTATCAAGTGGGTGGATTTGTCCTTAATCATGACTAGTGCAGAGATGCTGATTCTCTAAATTTAATATATGTATTTTTGGACATTTAATTTTAAGTAAAATAAGAAGTTAAGATCCTCCAAAAATTTTACCTTCTGTTATTTTACATATGAAGTCGCTGCACCTTTTTATGAGATGGGGTTTAGAGGCAAGCCTCCTAGATGTTTTAATAATTATCTCCTAACTCTAGTCTGCAAATAATTTTATTTGACAGAATAAAAAAGACATTTTCCCTTACATGAGTTAAAGAGTTTAGAATAACTTTACTTTTATAATTGTATGCATACATTCATTAACATATACTCCTGGCAATTAGTTAACATATGCCTTCTACTTTCTGGATGATATAAAATACCTTGGGTTTTTGATTTATTTAATATGATCAAAAATTCAGTTTTGTTAAAATTTTTATCATATGGTTCTCCTTATCTTTTTATGCTACCTTCAACTTTAAGTCTGCTCATTCAACCTCTTTGACACATGAGACCATTTAAAATCCACTACTTGCCTGAACTTGTGACTTCCCTTTGGAGTCAAGAGGTGTCAAGGCTAAAGGAAAGTCTGAATATGCTACTGGCTACTGGCCTGAATCATTCTAATTTTTCTACTTAGGTCATCGTTACTTAAGCGTAGAGAAGCAGAAAGACCAGCTTTCTTCAGATTTCATTCCCTGCATGTTTTCTTTATACAAAATGAAAGTTTTAGGAAAAGAAGGTAATTATACTGCGGATAAAGTTCTTGTAGGACTTTACTCATCAATCAAAGATAAATAATCATGTCTCTATTGTTTATTCCTTTTGTAAGTATATATCTCCAATTATTTTGCTTCATGTGGAGTCAACACTATTGATTCTTGCTTCTTTGTCTGCATTTAATGTGCTGTATCTGCTCTTTGACCTAGCATCAATAATTATCTTGCTCTTGTATTAATTTGAAAACATTTTGTTCCAAGGGAAAATTTTTTCTAAACCAGTTTATAATTGAATTGCCATATAATGAATTATCTAAATGCAATGAGAAATTTCCAATTGTCTGGGAAGAAAACTTTTGATTAAAAGTATGATTAAATTTGAAATATATTTTAAAAGTCATGGGTACAATGACATTACATATTAACCTTCTGATGAAAATATTTTTGAAGTGAATAATAGTTGTTCAATAATTTTGTTTTTTCTTAAATATTTCTTTCTCTTATTGCCTGCATTAAATTATTCATGTTAATCCCTGTTTCTGGATGATCTCAGATTTAGGAGATTCATAGCAGAGAAACATTTGCATCAGTAGGGACACCACAAAGATTATCTAGACTGAGTGATTAGGTGGACAAAAAACTGAGGCTCAGAGAGGATGAGAAACTTACCTGAGGTCACACTTTAAGCAGTTAGGTGAACACTGGGTCTAAAAATCCAAGATTTCTACTTTGGGGCCTTCTATATTTCCTTCTGTGTCACTGTGCTTTCCCTAAAGTGGAAAAGAAATAAAACAGTAGAATGCATTGTGAGAGTAGGAAACTAAAACAAAATTTTAAAAAGGTGTGAAAATATTTTGAAAGCCATTTAAAAAAAAAAAAACTAGAACATTCTATCATTCAATTATGTATTGTATCTCAATTTATAAGAACATGATAAAACATAAATGTATTTAGGTTTATATAATTGTTAATTAAATGACTGAAATCTTTTTATACGTGAAGAACTTCACTTTATATCAATAAATTTAAGCTAAAGGTTACAATAATGTTTTTCAAGGTAACAAGTATGTTAATACATAATTAAATTGCACACATGTAAGACAGAAATGTGAAATAGTAGTAATAAATTATTATTTTGATTTTTGTTGTAATGGAAAGCCAAATTTTTATTTCTAGTCTCATCTTCAAGGAATCTTTTATTACCATACTCTTAGAAGTTTAGATGGCTGCTTTAGAGGACATGGAGGACAACAAGTGACAGCACAATTAGACCCAAAGTGAAACACAATCTTTGTTTTTTAATGGAGGTCAGCCAGATTTTTATAATGTGTAAATTCTCCTTTTGTTCATATATGACAGTGGCATGCTTAGATAGGTCCTAACTGACAAAAAGTAGCCTTTTTGTCTGTCTATAAAAAGTATCTTTAAACTCAAAATGAATCAATTCTTTCATTACATTAAGGAAATGCGTAAGCTAGCAAAATTCTAGACAAGGCTAATTGTTGTATTTTAAGTGAGTCTTAAACATATGTTTTCCATGCCTATGAACATTGTAAAAATAAATAAAAATTTTAAAAATATAATATTTTATTTCATCAGCTGTATTACCCCGGAAGTCAATTACATACCTTAAGGTTCAATGGAAGTGACATGCATTTAATGCTAAGCTAGTGGATAAAGTCAATCTGTGAGGTAAGCATTTTACACTGAAAATTAATATTGAATTTAGAACATCAAAAATTGATATTCAAAATCTCCTAAATACCCATGAAGTAAAATGTTTATAATTTTCTATATGACACCTTATTTAGTAAAACTTGTGCATAGTAAGATTTCAGGGTGAATAAGGAAAGTTACAAAGAACAAAAGAAAAGGCAGTATACAAGGGACCAGACATTCTGCTTTTAAGACAACGGTGGAAATTCTAGTGGCAAATGTGTGTGTGTGTGTGTGTGTGTGAGTGTTGGTGGGGAGCGAGCATAAAGTGACTGGGAAGTAGATAATTCTGATGTCCTCCTGCTTGCCTTTAGGATTTAATCTACTCGATTTCAAAAGTATATCTATTATAACTTTAACACATTTAAATGATATGTTTGTTATCGGAGTTAAGATAAATAATATATGTGAAACACATTGCGGACTATGGGGGACTGAATTAGTGTTTATTGGATTTGAACTGGTCTAAGCCTTGTTTGATCTGACTCTCACACAGTACGTCTTTGGTAACTCTAAAAAAACTATTACCTGCCTGTTCTCTGCTGCCAAATCATCCAATGAATAATAGAGATTTTAAATGACACTTACTCAAGCATCAGGTTTTAAAATTAGCTCACGATATGGTTTGGCTCTGTGTTCCCACCCGAATCTCACACTGCAGCTCCCATAATTCCCACGTGTTGTGGGAGATGATTGAACGATGGGGGTGGGTCTTTCCTGCGCTGGTCTCGTGATAGTGAATGGGTCTCACGAGATCTTATTTATTTATTTATTTATTGACGGAGTTTCACTCTGGTTGCCCAGGCTGGAGTGCAATGGCGCCATCATGGCTCAGTGTAACCCCCACGTCCCGGGTTCAAGCGATTCTCCTGCTTCAGCCTCCTGAGTAGCGGAGATTACAGCATGCACCACCACGCCTGGCTAATTTTGTATTTTTAGTAGAGACGTGGTTTCTCCATGTTGGTCAGACAGATCTCGAACTCTGACCTCAGAGTGATCCGCTCACCTCAGCCTCCCAGACCACACCGGTCTATCGTTTTTAAAATGGGAGTTCTTCTGCACAAGCTCTCTCTTTGCCTCCTGCCATGCATGTAAGATGCGACGTGCTCCTTCTTGCTTTCCACCATGATTGTGAGGCCTCCCCAGCCGTGTGGAACTGTAAGTCCAGTAAAACTCTTTCTTTTGTAAATTGCCCAATCTGGGGTATGTCATTATAAGCAGTTTGAAAATGGATGAATACAGCTCATAAATATGTAAATGATAGAATTCCATTGTATTGTATTTTTTCAAAATATTTTGCGAACAATTATAATACATTTTCTTACAAGTAATTTGGAAATTACTGTATTACACTTCCAATGTTTAATTCAAAACATTAAAAATGATTATACAGCCAGTGGGGTGGCCTATGTCTGTAATCCCAGCTACTCTGGAGGATGTGCAGGAGGATCGCTTAAGCCCAAGAATTTCAGGCTGCAGTGAGGTATGATCATGCTACTGCACTCCAGCATGGGTGATAAGAGTGAGACCCTGTCTCTAAAAAATACAGTAAAATGCAATACAGTACAATAGAATTCCCATGTAAATGCCATTTACCAAAGACAAAATTGATGTTTAAGAAAAGCCTAGAAAAGCTTTCTTATTTGTTAGCATTGAATTAAGTGCATTATGTTGATTCATTTATAAAAAGTAATTCTGTAAAAGACACCTCAAATCTCCTGAGAGCTCCTTCACTGCAAAAAGACGGCAGAGATTCTGATATCACTAATTGAATATATTTTGGAGGGGGTTATACCTGATTATTTGCTTCTATTTCTAAAACAGACTAAATTAATCTTATGCTTTCAGCCGAAAATCCAAATTTGTTAGCATTGCATAGAATGCCTCATGGAACATGGCCACAAACCACAGTTTTAAGTCACATCTCTTCTCTTTCTATTCCCGTCTATTTAAAAATTACAAATCTATTTAAAATACCTGTATCATTCCGAATGTTAGTCTTAGTGTATAATTTTATTTCTCAAATTCTACTTTTTCATTAAAAAATAATTTTGCAATAATTATAGACTCACAGAAAATTATAAAAATAATACAGAAAAGTCCCAGCTACCTGTCACTCAGTTTCCCTCAGTAATAATATCTTACATGACTCTAGTCTGATATCAAAACAAAGACATTAAAATAAGTATAATCCCATAATTTATTCAGCTTCCACCACATGTATATGTTCTCAAATGTGTGTGTTTTGATTGTATTCTATACAGTGTTATCTCCTATATATGTATATAATCGCTACCATAATCAAAATACAGAACTATTCTATCACCACAATATCCCTCTTGCTACTCTTCTCCGATTATTTGCTTAGTAAATAGGCAGCTTAATTACTATTGTTTTCTAAACCTTTCCTGAGACTGCGGGTACTGTGTGTCCTTGTGCTCTCAGAGCTCCCTGTATGGGCTCTTTCAAAAACTCTTACTACATTACATTTTAGTTACTCCTAAAATGTACATCTGACTAACTAAACTGACTGCAGACTCTTTGAAGTTGGAAGAGTAAAGTAATGTGTGTTGAATGGGTACCTACTGGGATAATAAAATTTGCCAAAGATGCCTCCAATAATCATATCTTGTTCAAATAACAATTTTCTGAACCTACAATTTTAAAATACTACTCTGTGCTATAAATGAGCTAATTGACTTTTAATGTACACATGCTTTGGGCCCAATTTTTACAAAAAATTATTATAAGAGTTAGCACAAATAAGAACAAAAAGAAATGATTAAAATATAACTGCTGATGCATGGTCTAGTTTTGCTGCTGAAGATGCCATAAGCATCTTAATTACTACATAGAGAGTCATTTTTTAGTAAAGAGAACTACAAACACTTCAAGTGTCCATGGTGTTCATCAGCTAGTAAACCTGGCAAGTGGGTGGCTATTCCAAAATTCCTAGTAGTTAAGCAAATCTCTAATTAGAAATTTCAAATTCCTAGAGGTGTTTGCACAGCAATCCAACATAAATTTAACTGCAGCACCACTGCCCCAGGATATATCGCCAATATACAGACTACAGATGTATGTTATTAGAGTTTTAAAGAAGATGCACAAAAGGAAATTAAATCCTGTCATCATTATTTTAATTTATATGTGAATATAGATACTTTATCACCTGATTTCAGTATATTGAAACACTCCCCAAATTCTTGCTCATACTAAAAGGATAGGTTTTTATACTTTACATTTTTAACTTTTCTCAGTATTTTACAAGTAATATTACAAAACACTAGTTATAAAGGAAAGACCCTACCAGAAATGGAAAAAAAAAAAAAAAATTGTAGTTTTTGAAATAATGGTTTAAAATGGAATTAGTTTCTTACTTTCAAGTTTCCACTACTTCTTAAAGTCTTACACTTCTGGAAAAAGTAGACTTAGTACATAATCTATTTTTTTTTCTCAGACTTGCATTTTAGAGATCAAAAATAATTTTGCCATATTAAACATTGTTTTTTGCAAGAATTAGAGAAAGATAAACCTGAAAGACAATATACAAATATAGAAAAAAATGCTACATATTATAAAATTTGTGTATATAAATGTAAAAATACATTAGTTGAATATTTAGAGTCTGTATCCATTAAATGAAAAAGCAGTATTTTTTAAATCTAATAACACTTTTTTGTTGCCCACTTTATGACCTTTAACCAATTTGAGTTCCAGCTTTCCAACTTTAGAACAGGCTTTTGGCAGTAGTAGAAGGCAGTCAAATTCCTAGGCAGGCAGGGACTGGTCCTCAGTGAAACTCGACTTTCAATCAAAGAACAGTGTAAGGCCTGAAAACTGAGCTGCCAGTTCTGGATAAAATCCATGGACCAGAGTAAGGACTCCCACTCCTGTTTGGAGTGCGTCCTCTCAACTGGTCCTTACCTTTCACCTATTTTACATATACTGATCTTTCTGTGATTGTCTACCAGTTGAATCTTCATTTGCATAGAGTGAAACGTCACTCCTGTACCTGATTGATTGTGGGTCAAGCCTTTGTTTTGGCCTCTAATTGGTTCTTTCCATTATTGTGACTCTTTCTGAATGGTGCTTTTCCCAAAATGGCCCACAGGCCACTCAGGGCACTCCTCCTCATTCTCAGTCCATAAAAGCCCTGAAATTAGTCCTCCAGACAGCAACCGTCCTTTGGGTACCCGGTTTCTGTTGAAAGCTTTTCTGTCACTTAACATATCCTGCTCTGCCTTACTCACTCTCCAGTGTCCATGTGTCTTATTCTTCCTGGTCCTGGGACAAGAACTTGGAACTTGCTAAACTGCAAGAGTACAGGAACTGAAACCCTCCAGCTCACTGAGCTGTGGGCAGTGGGAATACAACAGTTATAACACTTCCTCCAGCTTACCAAACAATGGGAGTGAAGAAGCTGCTGGGCACCACTCTCACCTGCTTGTTGAACGGTGAAAGTAGAGAAGCCACAACATTTTGATAATGTGAAAATAAAAATGTTTTGAAGAGGGAATAATTTTTTTAAAATTGTATTTCACTGAGCTCTATAATTTTAATCTTTCACTCTACAAATATTTAAGAAGAGATAATTGATATCATGCATAGACAGAATCCAAGATAATTGATCTCACAGAAGAGCAGAATGGTAGTTGCCAGGCATGGAATGATGGTGGTAGGGGGATCTGAAGAGATGTTGGTCAAAGGCTACGAAATTTCAGTTAGTTAGGAAGAATAAGTTCAAGAGATCCATTGCACAATGTGGTAATATAGTTATTAACAATATATTGTATTCTTGAAAAGCAGTGCCTGTTAAATGTTCTCAGCACAAAAATGGTAACTGTGTGAAATAGTATGTACATTAATTAGCTAGATTTAGCCATTCTACTATATAAATATACTTAAAACATCATGTTGTATACTATATACACAATTTTATGACAATTTATAAGTAAATAAATGCAAACATTAAGACAATAATATATATTAAATGTTGAAATTATGTGATGAAAAGCATAGTCATTTCTCCCAAGTGGTTCACTCTCTAATTAGAATGAACTACCAGAGATCTTTGCAGAAACAATTACAAGGCATGTGTGCAATGCTAATTTGTGTACTTGTACAATGTGCAATGTTGTAAGAAATTTTACTTCCACAAATGTTATAAAAATTCCAATATATTTGTATCATTTTCTAAAAGTTGTTTATTGTCTTTAAGAAAATAATGAGAAAATTATTTTTATACTTATTCACATATTTACTAGTTCTGGTGTCTTTTTTGGGTTGGTCTAATTTTCCTTATGTTATTTTCCTTCTCTAAAGAACATCCTTTAACAATTTTATTTTTCTGTATTGCAAGTCTACTCATGACAAATTCTTTCAGCACAAAAAATAAAAATAACAAAAGGAACAAAATAATAACGAATGTATAATCAATCTTACCATTTTAACTACTCATAGTAAGACTTTTTGTCATGGTGATAAAAAGCACATTTGAGATCTGCCCTTTTAACAAATATTTTTAAGTGTACAGTAACATATTGTTAATTATAAGCAATTTTATAATAATGTGGTACAGTAGATCTGTAGAACTTTTTCATCTTTCGTGACTAAAACTCTCTATCCATTGAACAGCAGCTACACATTTCCTCCTCCATCTCCCAGCCAGT